AAATGTATTTTAAATAGAAGAATGTCTCACTTTGCATACAAAAACACCCAACAAATACAAAACAAAACAAAACAAACAAACAAGCAATTTCTCATTCTATTTAACTTAGTATTCTATATTGTTATGGCTGTTTCCCTTCCTTCCCAACTCAACTGTAGCACAGATGATTACATTTTGGGGAGAATTATGAGCTGTGAAGTGATACAAGCAATAGTAGTATTTAAGCTTTTTATTTTTATTTTTCTAATGTTCCTGCACCTGTTCTCTCCATCACGGTCAAATCAGAAACAAACCAAGTTAGCAAAGTTTTGGTTGTCTTCTGCTTTTCCTTCCCTGAGATAGCATTATTTAAATGAGTTGTCAATATAATATATGTGTGTATATATATATATATATATATATATATATATAAACACGAGGAGAATAATTCTGAAAGGGTGAAAAAGATAGGTGAAGTGTTAGCAGGAAAAGAAAAGCCTAGAAAGTGCAACTCAAGTGGGTGATATGGGACTTCTGATAAGGTTGCTTCTGCAGAGTTCTTTCTCAAACACCTCTTTGGGGTTATCCCATCGAGCTCAAGACAAAGGGCTCTTCAAACATGAGGTCTCTGCAGGAACTGCATCCATCATCTAGTAAAACTGTCCTGTAGAAAACAAATATGCTTACATTACATTGTCCTTTTTATTTGGGCGCACTTAAAGGTCTAAGGTGAAATCTAGTTAAATACAAACAATTTAATAAGAGTGTTCCAAGAGGCAAAACCATTATGTAATTTAGGAACAGCCAAATTATTATAAAACAGTTATTGTAAAAAGATGGTATAAATACCCTCCTACAGAGATTTCCTTATGCAGTAAGTTAAAAGAAATACATACTTAACAAGTAATATACTTTCTCCCATTCCTCAAAATACCATTTTTAATCTCTTAATTTCCTAAAGTAAGTCTACAGTGAATTAAGTGGGCTATACATGTCTATTGGGGGGGATTATACATTGTAATCACAATTATAGGTCTTCAAAAAAAGCCATTTCTAATCCCTCCAAAAGATGCTTAATAACTATTACACTACTGAGGGACTGATTAAGAAAAGGGATTAGATTTAGAAGTGGCCACAGTGAGTAAATTACATTACTCAAACACATTTTGAAAAAATAGAAGCAATTTCGTATTAAAAAAAAAGATATTAAAAGTGAGTCTGCCAAAACAAAAACAACCAAAAACCCTTACCTTCTGGTTAGGCTTGCTCCTTAAAAAGAAAGAAATGCCTTCAAATCTTTTTCAGCAAAGTAGCCTATACATCACAGTGACCCTATATTGGTTCATAATGAATACCCAATTAAGCACTTATCTAGAACCGATGTGCTGATAAAGTACAAATAAAGGTAAATTTTTCCAGAGCTAGCTTGGATCATGCACAGCTTTACCTGAACAGCTCTAAGAGGAGAAAACATCTCCAAATACTCTCCTCTGGAATCCCGTTTTATTTATGTGAGTAATATGCACTGACATCTCATATAAAATGAAGATTTGTAAGTCTCAACAAGACAGGGACACATCTGCCACTTCTAGGAATAAACCAACTAAGGGGCATTAATCTAAAATTGAAAGAAAATATTAAGCATAATCTTTCATTTTTCTCTTTCTGAACTATGGTATGTAATTCATGTTGTGGCAGACAATAAGACAGAACAGGACAAATCTGAATCCCTTTGGAGTCAGTGGCAATGCTCATCTTGACATCCATGAAATGAAGACTTAGCCCAAGGCCTTCGAATCTGATTGTAAGATACAATAAGAATGGCTGAACAGAGAAAAAACACCAAAATATGTTAAATTATTGACACATGGGAAAGAATAGTTGACAGAAAATTATTGTTGCATTTCAGTGACATGCTGAAGTGACTACATTTTAATATAAATAGATGGATGGAAAAGGAAGGGTGTTTACTTCTGCAGATAAGGTCCTCATTTAGACAAAAAAAAATTTAGACTACTTTCTCTTGGAAGAGTAGTTTGTGTGTTCACTACTACTCCAGAACTATTTGCTTATGTTAACAGAGCAGCAAATGAGTTCAACACTTGGCTGCAAATAAACTGTTGAGTTTCAAGTGAAAAGAGTTAGTGGGAGGAGAGGTGATTTCTTTAACTTTCAATAAACTTGCATTTTCATGTGAAACTGGGTGTTCTGCAAACTAGCTGAATCTTTCAAATTGATTCCCATTGTACAGTTTCCAGCTTCATCTCATGAGAAAACAATCTAATCTCTTCCTTTTCAGACACAGTCATAATTAAATAAATGTGCATCTTAAAAAGGAAAGCACACATTCCTTCCTCCCTCTGCATTCCTGCACACTCCTGTGGTCTTCCCTGCGTTATCATTAATAAACATCAATTAAATACAGGTCACTGGGTGTGTTCCTGGCCAGATGTGTAGTGAACCAGACAGCTGAAGAGTAGTGTGGCTTAACGTAAAGGCTTTGAGATACTAAGTATTAAGGGATTAAAGTTATAGCCAGCCTTGAGTTTTGTTGCAGCTCTTACCTGAGACTGACAATTTGACAAACTGATAGGAGTGACAATGACTGTCCTCACAGGGAATATTGCAGTGGACTCCATGCCATCTTAAAGAAATCCAAAACCCCAAATATAATCAAACTGAAACAGCAAAAATCACAAAGGCATCTGAGAGACAAATGCGTACTGAGTGCAACCCAGCTGCAGCGCAGCTCAGTTTGTACCACCCGCGCTGCACGTACAACACAGTGTGATTGAATCAAAGGGCTAATCTGTTTGCTTTCCTTACAAATACCTTGCAGGTGTGCGGAGAAACAGCTAACTGAACAGGTGTTGAACATATCCTAAGCTCCCTTACAGAAAAACTCTACACAAATTTAATAAGGATGATACTATTAGAGACCAATAATGATCTTTGGATTAAAGTACTAAGCTAAGGGTCAGGAGATAAAGATTTCACTTCTGGCTTTATCATAAAATCCCCATGTGAAAATGTGTTGGGGGTCAATTGGACTTTTCAGATTATTTGCACCTTGGAACAGCATTGGATTTTCAAACTACCCACACTCCCACAGGAAGCAGTGAGCAGTAATCTATCCGGCCTCTACAAATATCTGACTTCAGCCTGCAAGTGCTGAGAACTTGAGTTCTCCCCTTAAATTTTCTAGCTAGACCAAACAGTTTTCTTTCAGGTATGACTATAGTGAACTAGAAACCATTCATCTGGTATAGCAGCACTGATTAATGCAATGTGTCTGTTGTATGGCCTATGTATATTATATGTCCTTTGATTTGCCTTCCATAAGGGAAGTTTTAGAATTCTGCGCTTTTAGATTGAGAGGAATAGCTGAATAGCCTCACTAGTCAAATCATTTTTTTTTTCCTGGAGTGCCTTTCTGTTTTACAGGTGAAGAATATTGTCTTGGATAAGTAAACGAGCTGACCCCTGTATGTAAGTGTTTTTGTACATTTTTAGACATCTGATTTCAGTATTTCTAATAATGTTTTCCAAATTCACTCCTTGTTTTGTGTATCTGATGATACACACCCATTTTCAAAATTTCCTTTATAATCTTCAAAACTAGTAAAACTGCAAGTCTAAGCAGTTCAGCTTTTAGTTTCTTATACTGCAGACTCACGCCAGTTTAGTGGGTTTTGTTGTTTAGTTAAATGACCGAAGTGTAAAAAATAATAATAAAAAAAAAAGTCAAAACACTCTAAATGATGTAACTTGGCAGTTGGATTCTGCTCTTTACAAAGCAGAAACAGATTCGGTGACACCTATAAAGTAAATTCCAGTTCTCTGAAACCGAATCAGTCCTAGTTCTTCCAAAATATTTCTGTTCACGGTGATCATGTGAAGCCAAGGAACTAACAGAGAATTTACAGATTGGACCTAGCAGATGATATTCAAATGTGGTTAAATCATGTAATCCAAAACAACTTCCCCACCCTGAAATTTTATATAAAATTACTCATCCTAATGACAATTTTATCCTAGAAGAATCATTCCAATAAGCCAAAGTTCTCTGTTTCTCTGCAGTTTGCAGAATATCACAAGTAAACCATTTATTAATCAGCAAACAACTGATGTACTCTTTAGTTATTGGCCAAAGAAAAGTGAAGGAGCCTGAAAGCAAAAAGCTGTGTCTAGTGTTTGATTTCTAATAATGAGCAGAAGGAGATGAAAAAGAATCCAGGTGACTTACTAAAGACATTGTAATGAGAGGTATGAGAGCTACTTCAGATGAAAGGGATAGTTTACCAAGCAATCCTATACAGATGGCACAACTTCTTAGAACTGCTTTCAGGCCAGTATAACTTAATACACCATGGAAGGCTCTACAAAAAGAGAAACTAAAGTCATCTTTGAAGGTAAACACAGAACAAATTCTATATTTAATAGGTTTGTGCCTGATAAAGGAGAAAGAAAATTGAAGGGGGATCTCAGAACCTTACCATATATGACTGTTTAGCACAACACACTCAGCCCTCTCAAGTCTGGTGTACAAACTGTGAAATACAACAGCGAGCTCCAATGACTTACACAGGTTGTGCACATGAGAGCACGACCCTGGCCTCAAGCACAGAGCTGAAAAAATGTTGCTAAATATCCTGCTAAATCAGCTGCTATGCTTGTGCACACAGGCACAGTCATTTACCTTTCACTTCACACATGTCGAAAGCCTACAGGAAAAAGTTCTCATCTGCAGGCTGTACTCGGCACCCATGAAATGCCATGGGCTCCTGTGGAATGCAGGCTGGGAATGAGCCTGCCTGCAAGCTTCACACACAGGCGCTGTGGGTCACCACGTCTCTCCACAAGGCCCCAGCACTCCCAATCTCATTTGTTTCAAAAGAAATGGAACAACAACGCTCGGTGATAACGACAGCCATACTCCTTGTGAAGTGAAATGACTCAGGAAGAAAGCATGGACAACCCTCTGCTCTTTAGGGACTGGGAATTGGAAGACTTTCGCTCACCTCCCTCGTTATCCTTGTTATCGGCACAGGAAGTTTCCATGGCAACGTTGCATCCAGGCCCTCTCCAGCCGGTCTGGCAGACACACTGCCAGCTGTTCTGGCCGAGCGTGCATCTCCCATTGCCGTTGCACAGATCAGGGGCAGCCATCTGGTTGAAGAAATGAGGAAGGTAAGTACAAGACATGCTTATTCCCACTAACGCTCACACGTCTGACAATATTACTGTGCAAACAAAAAGCCCGGCTCTTGCTGGTGGGGCAAACACTCTGCCAGCCCCAGAGCCACAGCCCTGGCGTGTGTGGAGAAGGAGGAACCCCGGGGAAGAGGGGACTCAACTCAGGCCTAAAGAGAAGCTGAGGCCTACCACCAGCCATGATAAATGTTTTATGAACCCTGTAAATGTTCAGATCTTCAGTTAAAGGCAGTCTGCTGACAAGGTCAGGTTTTTCCCACTATGTGTTTGTATCCATACGTGAGGGAGAAAATCTTCTTATACAAGCCCGTCAATGTTCCGCGTGCCTTTTATATCATGCATTGAAAAATTCTCCAGAGCTTCTCTAACACAAAGTTTAAGTAAATTGTTCTGAAAATATTTTCCTTCTTTAACATTCACTTTAAAAGCCCTTCTTATTTAACACTAAGTTCACAATGTAACCTTTCACACTTTTGGAAAGAGCAAATCTAGAAGAGGTAGCCCACAAAAAAGCATGTTTTGTATTGACTATGGATGCGATGTGACTTACTGTATAGCAAAAACTGAACTGGAAACAAAAATATTCACTTGCTAAGGTGCTTATACACACTAGCGGAATGTCCATAGGCAAGAGAACAACTTGATTGCTTTTTATTTTTCCTACAACTGAATGAGTCTCAGGACATGCTACTATGTCTTCCTGAATACTCACTATGAATAAAGAGCAAAAAAAAAAACCAATTCCACCCTGTAAGGTACATGAAGCCTTGGTAACCTTCCGACCACATCCAATCCATGCAAACATCTCTCATTTGTCTATAGATGTCAAAGAAGATTTGGGAGTCCTGCAACGGGCCTCTCAGATCACCTTCTTATAAGGAGGACAAGGCTCTGTTGCCATACTGTTGTAATATGTTGGAACCCAACCACTCCAGCTCTTTCATCTGGTTTGGAGACACAGTCTAATCCTGTCAGGTATCTACACTACCATCACAGAACGTGGAATCATTAATCTCACTGCTATTGGTCTTGGGCAGAAAATGTCATCCAAAACAGCTCACAAGGCTTCATGCTTTCCCATTCTCCCCTCTAGTACCAGCGATGGGTCACAGCCAGCATCGAGATGTGAAGGGACCTGTGCAGCCCACTCAGGTGTCACCAACTGGCTGGATTAGTCCTTTGCATTTGCCTCTGTGACCTCAAGCTGTGACTATTAATTAAGTACTCCATTCCCTTCCCCAGGCATTTTAAAAGCACTGAGGAACTAATGGGCACCCTACCGGAGTGTGGATAATCTTTTCATCAGGTATGAGCAAGGAAGGCAGCAGTGGGAAATATCCAGAAAGCAAATAAATATGTTCTGTTTGTCTGAGCAGCACAGCTGCAGATGTGCAGTACTGGAAGAAAGACCAAGATGACAGGAAGTCACCTCTCTGCCCCTTGGTCTCTGCAGGTGACCAGGAATAGGACCAAGTGTCAAACTAACACACCTGGTGCTGAAAGATTGAGCAGCCTTCCAGAAATTGCTAATTTTGGCTGCCTGTAAGAGCATTTCTATAAACCTGTTCAGAAAGCCAGAGCTTTGAGTTTGGTCTCTTCCTGCTCCTCCTAGCAGCCTTGGCCATAACCAGGTGATGTTAGAGAGAAGTCCCTCTGACCCCAGTACTGGTTTCCACAGTGCCACAGGAGGCTCCCTTGTGGGAAAGCGAGCTGCCTCATACCCCTGCTATTCACAACTGGTATCACAAAAGGTAAATATTCACTCTTACTTTACCTAGCTGGCTTACTACCTGACAAATTCATAATGAATAATTAAACTTTAATATGATTAAATAGCCCATGGCCACATGGACTTTTCAGTAGAATTCTGAAAGTCTCCTTTACTTTTTTTTTTTTTTTTTTTGCTGGGCTGGTGGAAGGTGTCAGACAGAGACCTCAGCTGTCGCACAGAGAAAGGTTCTCCATAGGCAACAGCAACCAAATCTCTGCACATTGGCCTACCAGGTGCCTGAGTCTGTACCACTGATAGTGCTGGCACAGCAGCTACATCTCCCAATCTCTGCCAAGTAAGACATGAGATCTCTTTGAGCAGGGCCAAAGCCAGTTAGTTCATTTTACAGAGAAAGCTATCAGCAGACAGAAACAAATCCTAGAAGTTTTATTCCAGTGCTGCTATTGTGTATTAAAAAACACGGTGCCCCTTTCACTTAAAAGAAAGGCTATTTTGGCATTACATATCTTAGCTATAAACAATGTACGTATTTTGCAACAAAGGAAATACATTTTCAAGTCATTTATTTTATATCTTTGGTTTGTTAGGTTGTTTGAATGACCAAAATGATAACGTCTGAGGGGAGGCATCATACTGTAGAACAAATTTTTCCTTTTAAATGAAAAACAAACAGTAATTGTGAATATACACACAAGGTTGGCTTTATACCAGAGCACTGAAGAGAATTAAATCACAGAAGCAGTTTACTTTGCATCATATGAGCAAGATGAAAACATGAACAGTAGGGAGCGAGCAAAATCTCTGAGAAGTTTATGTTCAGCTGGGGATTAATGGACATGACTTTGCTTTTAGCTTAAAGAGGGAAGCAAGCATCACTGGTATAGACATGGTGTTGCTAGGAAACACTATGCTACCTCTGTCGTTTATTTAACTGGCTTCAAAGACAGACTTTGTGTTTCAGTAACGTAAATATCAGAAGGAAGGAAAAAAAAAAGGCAGCAGCAAACTACAGTATGATCCAAGTATTCTGACAATAATTTCTTCCTTACAAAATTATTAAGTTAATGGATGTGTTGACTTTAAAAACAGCTCTAAGTAAGAGGGAATAATTGAGGATATTTTGTATAAAACAGTAAGGGAAAACAATTAAGGTGTGTTTGTATACATGTGCTGTGCATGTCTGTATATGCTTGTTTTCAAGCAAATATTTACTTAAGTATTACTGATCCATTAGACCCAAATTTGTCCATTAGACCCGAATATGTCCTAATGACCTGTCACCTAAATAGACAACAGATTTCCATTATAATCTACTAAACAAATACTATTTTTTACAAAGTTTATATTTAGGCAGTACACTTCCATTTGAAGTCTGCATGTCTCTGTGTAGAAGCTCCTGCATGCCCATGTGCACAGCAGTTAGTACAGACGAGTACCCTCAGCACACAGGGCATTGCATGTGGCTAACAGGCCTTCGTGCACTGCAGTGCATTTTGACAGCAGACAAGCTAACAAAGCACCTAACCAAGAGCCTCGGGAGTCTCAACAAATGCTCAGTGCTCACTGCTGGGTACACGACCTTTGCTGGAAACACACGATGCACTAAGTGTATGCTAACACTAAGTGCTTTGTTAAAGCCTGCTTTCATTCACACTGAGCAGTGTCTTACCTCCCACTTGTCTTATGAATTTACTCACAGAGTAAGGCAGGCGAAGAGAGAGTAAGGCAGTCACAGAGGGAAGCACTATCGAAATCTAACCTTGAGAAGCAATTCACCGCGGTATAACACTCTCAGTCACAGCACAGAAAGGGGTCCTCCATGCTAAGCAGACAGGTTGCTATTCCTAGTGTGTAGAAAAATTCTACTCATCTTTTCTATTACAGTATGCTTAATGGAAAATGTCAAAATGCTAGCTTAAAAAAAGAAGAAAGTGCTTGTTTAAAGTGTTAGATTGACAGCCTATTTATTCACAGCACAGGCACTGTACAGGCAACAGCAGTTCAAGTGTCTCACTTTCCTAGCAGTGTCTCTGCACAGGCTGCTGCGGCTGGAGGCGAAGCACTAACACACTCTCCCTTCCCCTTCAGTCCCCACCTGCCCGTGGGACTGGTCAGTGTACATACACGAACATATGCATTTGGAATTAAAATGGCAAGATAAAATCCAGTGCTTTTTCCAACGTACTGTCAGGAATATGTGACTAGCATTGTGAGGGAGTATCAGGGTAACAGAGGATTTCAAAAATCAAAACACTCCAATCCATTCCTGTCCACGCCATGGACACAAAATGCCCAGCATTCATGTGAAGTGGGTAAGGAAACGGAGAAATTAAAGGCATAATATCTCTGGATCTAATAGAGAATGATGTAAACTGGTGTGGTGTTTGTTTTTTTTTTTACATATGAGATCCTTTTTAGCATCCTCACTGCACAAAACAATCTCCATAATCTTCCTGAACACCAGGGCTAGTGTTCAATGCCTGAATTTACTACCTCTCTGTTTTCTTTTCTGTTTTTTTTTTTTTTTCTTTTTCTTTTTTTTCCTGCCCAACTAGCCAACTAAACTGGAATAACACAACAAACTCAGTGGATTTCCCAGTGCTTCTCTTTGGTTGAAGAGGTTGTTATATAACTTGATTATAGTTCAAAAAAAAACAACAAACGCATTTCTTTGGAAGTTAATATACCGCATCTACGATGGTAAGTAGCATAAGGATGCTGACTCTTCAATTACAAGGGCCCAGAGACAACTTTGAAACTATAAAATTTCATAAGCAAAGATTCAGCAAATACATGTATATGCTAGTCCTCAGGGACCCTTGTCCACTACGTACACCATTTTCCAAAGGTTAAAACCCTTCACTTATAATTCCACAGGCTATCCATTACAATGCATATATGATGACAGCACATTACAACAGAAGGAACTTTGTTGATACGTAGCACAAACAAATATTCGGTAATGAGAACAACATGAGAGGACTGTAGCTTGAGGGGGGGGGGGGGGGGGGAAGTGATTCTTTGCCAGAAAATAGTTGAGTTTTTTGTCATAAATTAGATTTGTGTCTCTTGAATGTGTCTGTTACTAACAGGAAGAGGATTTACCATGGATGCTAATAAGTAAATAATATAGTAGCAGATGACACTATTACACAGAACCCTGTGAGAAATGAGAACACCTCAATGTGAAAAGGACTTTTTGTTTCTGTTTTCTCAACTTCAA